ATACCTACTTCCCAGTGATGTAATTTGGAAAACACCTTGTAGAAAACAGCTAAATAAAGCCAAGATATTATGTGGAAGTGGAAATCCCTGCACTGGTGTTTCATCCCTAGTGGGCTCTCCAAAGATGAGCCAGTAGAACATAGACTCTGGCGAGATTTCAAGTTGTTTATTGTCCAAGGCCCAGCCTAATGAAGTTTAGAGCTTCTCATCAGTGGATTGGCCACAGGGGTATGAATTTTGCAGCTATAGCAGCTGTTAAGGGCTGTTTACTAAGTCATAGAAGGGCTATATTCCAGGTCAGTAGATGGCAGATTGACAGGACAACCCACACTGATGAATCCTGGACATATGGAAGTTTCTATGTCAGTAGCTTTGGCTATTCCTTGCAGCTGGGCTAGAAGGCTGGCTGTTCACTGTGACCTTATCCATTGATCCATCCCAGCTGTCTACACACTCTATTTTCTCCAGGTTTGGGGACCACTTTGAGTGGAACAAGGTCACATCCTGTATCCACAACATCCTAAGTGGCCAGCGCTGGATTGAACATTATGGGGAAGTACTTATCCGAAACACTCAGGACAGCTCCTGCCACTGCAAGATCACCTTCTGTAAGGTATCCTCACCTGCCCTGCTCCTGTTTCTGTAAGGTCATGTTAAAACAGTGGAGTCTACCCACTGGGCTGACTGCCTCCTTCTTCCCTTTCCTAACACTCCCACTCTCAGGCAAAGTACTGGAGTTCCAGTGTCCATGAGGTACAAGGGGCTGTGTTCAGCAGAAGTGGGCGTGTCATCCACCGGCTCTTTGGCAAGTGGCATGAGGGCCTATACCGGGGGCCCCCACCTGGTGGCCAGTGCATCTGGAAACCGAGTAAGAGAAAGGGAGCGGGGCAGACAGGAGATGTGGGAGGCAGGGCTCTCTTCACTCCAATTTTTTTTCTTTTCGAGGCAATGGGGATTAAGTGACTTGCCCAGGGTCACACAGCTAGCTAGTAAGTGTCTGAGGCCAGATTTGAACTCAGGTCTTCCTGACCCCAGGGCCAGTGCTCTATCCACTGCAACACCTAGCTGCCCCCTTTACTCCAGTTTTTCACTTCCGCCAGGTCAGAGTCATTTGGTTCAGGATAAGGAGGTAGTCCACCTGTTCTCCTGGGATGGATTTTTTTCTCCACAGTGTTTTCTAACTATGGCATTGTTCAATGATACCCACCCTCAAAGGGCTAGAAAGATATTGTAGGGATAGGGGAAAGAGGCTCGGATGGACTAGTGGGGAGAGATGTAGACTGAGGTCTTTGTTCCATCTGCCATCCTTTCTCCAGCTCTAATCAACTTGACCCCTCTCACTTCCAGATTTGATGCCTCAGGACCACGAGCGGAACTTTGGATTTACACAGTTTGCCCTGGAGCTGAATGAGTTGACAGCAGAGCTGAAGCGCTCTCTGCCCTCTACTGATACTCGGCTTCGGCCAGACCAGAGGTCAGGCATCTCCAGTCTGTCTGCTTTCCCTGCTACAGGGCATCTGGCTGACCAAACAATCTGCCTCAATGTGGGGTCCCTGCTCCTCCCTTCAGTGATACAGAAGGCGAATGAGGCAGGATCCCTCATACACTTCTCCTTAGACCTGCCTGGAGAAGAGAGCTTTCCCTTGGGTAGTGCAACTGCCAGGATCTCTCTGCAGGGAGTGCTGAGGGTAGCCTGAGTAGGTGGGAGGAAGGTCACTTCAGTCTGGGTTGGAGAGGTGTCACTGATGGAACTTTGGTCACTCAGGTATCTAGAGGAGGGAAATATTCAGGCCGCCGAATCCCAAAAACGGAGGATCGAACAGCTTCAACGAGACCGCCGCAAAGTAATGGAGGAGAACAACATCACCCACCAGGCTCGATTCTTCAGGTACCTAAAGAAGCCCCCATCTCCCTGGGGAGAGCTCTCCTCCCTCCTCATGTCCTGTTGCCTTTCCCCTCCTTCAATTCCATTCCAAATCCTCTGGGCCACCTAGACCAGCCAGCAATGACAGCTGGACCCGTAGAGAGCTTTCCAAAACATCAGAATGGGGAGGGAAGATGTGGGAAACAGGACCTCGAAGCTGCTTCATTGATTATCTCCTGTGTCTCCTCTCTCCTCCCTGCAGGAGACAGACAGATGGCAATGGAAAGGAGTGGTGGGTCACCAATAACACCTACTGGAGACTGAGGGCTGAGCCAGGCTATGGGAACCTGGATGGGGCTGTGCTTTGGTAACCTTGGCCCCTGGAGGGGGATGCAGAGACCTTTAGTGCTCCTCAAGGGCAATGTGCTACTTCTCCCTCCTATTGCCTTGCAACACTATGGATGCATGGAATGGGGCAGAACATTCATCTCCTTTCCCTGGAGACAAATGGGCTCGCCTGTTGCTTGTTTCCTCTGCAGGCCAGAGAAACTGGATCCTATCATGTGGGGTTGTTTTTTTTTTTGAGGGGCAGGTCACAAGCCTGTGGTGTCTCCCCTACCCCCATCTTGTTGCACCAACAACAGGCATGTAAGATGTGTCTTTGTCCTCTCACATACCATTTTGCTTTCCCACACTGGCTTATGGGAGGGAGACTACAAACTTTCCACCTGCTATTGTTTCATCCAGTGCCTTGGACTGAAGGACTCTGACTGTGACCTTCTCCCCATGACCCTCTCCACCTCCTCCCCTCCAATAAATCCTTCCAGATTTGGCTGAGATGGGGACAGTCCTTGGTTTCAGCCTCTGCATTGCTGCCCCTCCCTTTGTTGCCAGCATTTCTCTACCATTTCCACTTTCCACCCCTTTGTCCTCAACCATCTCACTGGCTGTTCCCTCAAATCTGCAGCACTGATCTGTTTCTGCTGTCCCTGGACTCCACCCCTGACACTTTTGTGTTAGCTATGGGTTCTTTGGAAAGTGACATTAATGCAAATGATGTTAATGCAAGCACCTGAGAGTCAGAGGCAGGGCTAGGGCAGGTGTGTGTGTGTGTGTGTGTGTGTGTGTGTGTGTGTGTGTATGTGTGTGTATGTGTGTGTGTTTGCACATGGTTGGGAAGAGGATAAAGAAGCTGCTTGCAGGCAGGCAGGCTCCTTAGAAATGGCTCCTGGGATCCTGGGTTCCTCCATCATGGTAATTATTTCTTTTCAGGCCCTCTCTGTCTTAAGGTGAATTACCATGACTGTCTGAGCTCCAATAAAGGCAGTCCCAGATTTCTGTTGTCTTTTTTTCTGTCCCTCTCCAGTTCCATAAATAAGGCCCATGGGCTTTGGATTTACAGTCCAATCTCATGTCCATTCTTTGCTTCTGGATACTACACCTTATACATGGGAACTCTCGATTAAGGGAGACCCTTATCCCTGCTTGATAAGTGGTGGGACACACAGAATACCTTGGTTCAAACTAATCTGCTAATCATTGGCCTTGGAAACTTGGACAAATCACTCTTTCCTCTCTGGGGCTGACTTTTTGCACCAAAATGAGGGAGAAAAAACCTCTGGATGTGGACTTAGTTTTAAATCTTGTCTGCTGCTTTCTCTCCAGTGTGATCTTGGACAAATAATTTCTACTTTCTAGGCTCATTTCTTTATCCATTCCGTGAGGACTAGTTTTTTTTTTTTTTTTTTTAAAGATACTTCTCAGCTCAGTCTGTGAGATTTGTGTGTGAGAATCTTGCCTCACTTACTGTATAACTCTAGGGAAATCACTTAACCATTCCAAAGCTCGGTTTCTGGATCTGTAAAATGGGGAAAATAATATGTACTGCAGGATTTGCCTCTGAAGGTTGCTGTAAAAGGAAGGAAATGAGCATTTATTAAGGACCTACTATGTGCCAGGGGCTGTGCTAAGAGCTTTACAATTACTATCTCATTTGGTCCTAACAACAATCTTGAGAGGCAGGTGCATTATTTCCCCCATCTTACAGTTGAGAAATTGTAGGCAGACAGAGGTCAAATGACTTGTCCAGGGTCCCACAACTAGTAAGCATCTGAGGTCAGATTTGAACTTGGGTTTTCCCGACTCCAGGCACAGAGCTCTACTCACTATGCCACCTAGCTTAGCCCACCTCAGAGGTCTATATAAATGTCAGCTATTATTATAAGACTGTGAATATAGGATCTCTAAAGGTACTTTCCAGTTTTAGAAGCCATGAACTGAACAGGTTTACACCATGGGTTTATTACCTCCTGGACTTCAGGGCCATGGGCAGGATGGGAGAAAAGGATAATCCTTAGGGATGAGCCTTCCTTCCAGCACTCATGCTGCTTCCCAGACAGAAATCACAGCTCTGCTGTATATCAGCCTTGGCTCCCAGTTATTTAAGCAATAGTGCTAAAGAGGGGAGGCGAGGAAGGAAGGACATAGTTGGCCTACTTTAGTTCTCTATATCCTATCAGAAGTGAGACAGCTTGGAAGGCTGCACGAAGAACCGTAGAGAAAGAGAGCCTAGGGACTTGGAAGTCAGAGCACTGATCCCTGCTTCTAGGTATCACACATCCCAAGGGGAATCACACCTTCTCCTTGGGCTTGGCTTTCCCCATGAAACCCTAGGAGAGGTCAAATTGTATGGTCACTCCGCTGTACCCAACTAACTCTCAATTCCCTTCATACGGAGACAGGCAGCCTTTTACAAGTTTATTAAAAGAAATAGTAAACCAAAGAGATTGATATCTTATATCCTGAACAATAAATGACTTCTTTAAAAAAAAAAGAACATGCTTTTTCTCATTTTTAAAAATTTAATACTATTTTATATTTTTCAATTACATGTAAAAACCATTTTCAGCATTCAGTTTTTGAAAGATTTTGAGTTTCAAATTTTTCTCCTTCCCTTCCTCCCCTCTTCCCTCCCCAAGACAGCAAGCAATCTGATATTGGTTATACATATGCAATCATGTAAAACATATTTCCACATTAGTCATGTTGTGAAAGAAATAGAACAAAAGGAAAAAACTTTGAAAAAAAAAGTGAAAATAGTATGTTTCAATCTGCATTTAGGCTCCATCAGTTCTTTCTCTGGATGTAGATAGCGTTTTCCATCATGAGTCTTTTGGAATTGTCTTGGATCATTGTATTGCTGAGAAGAGCCAGTTCAATCATCGTTGATCATTGCACAAGAATAAATATTTTTCTAAATCTAGAGGTGAGACAACCCTCCCCTGTACCCTTACTCCCCCACCCCCCATTTCAACAATTCTGGGATTCCCATCGTCCTAGGATGGAAGGCACCCAGATGCTATTAAAGGACACCTAGAATGTTTTCCTAAACTTGACTAATAAAAAATGAGCTAAGTGACCTAAGTTTCCTCCCTTCCCTTTCAACTTCCCTCAGCACCCACGTATAGATATCCAAAATAAGCAAAGTTCATCCTTGAAGGCAGCACCAGGGAAAGATGGCTGTGATCAGGGAGGAGTATAAAGGGCACAGGCACTATTCTTTCTACTGACTCCTGGGGGAGCACACATGAGAATCAAGAGAAGTGACTACCTAGATCAGGAATTTTTTTTTTAATAAGTGAATCCATATTGTTTTGTTCCCTTAAGTTAGCGACATGTTACATGGAGCCAGAGCTTTAACTCTGACTGAATCAAGCAATTTTAGGAGGACATTTAAACCCTGACTTCGGATGTCTGTGTTACTCAGTTTATGATCTCTGTATGTTTAACCAGAGTATGAGAAAGGAATAGAACAAGATAGGCAAATGTCAGATCCAGGATGTTTGTGTTTCCTTTACCACCAAGATGAGAAAAATTCCCATTATTCAAGGTAGTGTCTGGGTTAAAGGTGCCTTAGTGGTCATAAACATAAGAATGCTCTTGATCAGCTTTAACTGTTGACATAGGAAGGGGCATTCTCAGTTCACTCAGGAAGAAAAGATTAATTCAGGTTTTTGGCCCTTATTGAGGCTCAATTGATCTTAAATGATTATCATTTCCTTCTTTTGGTCAAAGGTAAGCCAAAGGCTTCACCTGTAGACCAAAGAAGGTATGGGAAACAACTTCCTCTTTCTCAGGGGGTGGGAAGAGATGTCCACCTGGAGCAGATGTTTTCAGATATAGATCAGGAATTCTTAAACAGGATTTCAGGGGCTTCATAAACTTGGTTTCTTAGTATTGAAGAGGTCCATCATGGAAACTGGGGGTAGAAAGGCTGGTTTCTATAAGGCTGGACTAGAGGATCATTCAGAGCTGGGATAAAAGGTATGGACAAGCCCAGGTAGAGAAAGGTCTGAGATTTGGAGTAAGAAAAAAAGACAGGAAGGGAGGAGTGGGTTGGGAAATGCAGTAGGAAGTTGGGGAGGAGGAGCAGAAAAAAGAGACAGGGAAGGAGAAAATGGGATGATGGATTATATGCCTGGGGGGAAAGGGACTATTTAGATTTACTGGGCACCCAAGAGAGGGCACCTCAAACTCAGAACCAAAAGAAAAACATCTTTACATGGCTAATCAACCAAGGTGACCCAGTGAATCCCGATGCGTACTGTTGTTCCCTGATTTTCCACACTGAATACATTGCATCCCTGCCTGAATTATCAGGAGATAAACATCTCTTCTTAGCTTCTTCACTCAGGCTTAGGTCATCAGAATCTGACTTAGAGGTATAGATCCAGAGTTCCCCTTGAGGCCTTTTCTCTTCCCAAGCTCCAGTGATAGGGTCCATGAGCTTTGGGGGTACAGATTGGAGACAATCCCATACTGTTGCCCTTAGAGTTCCATGAGGGGGAAGTGAGAGGGCCACTTCCATAGCAGGACCACAGGATCCTGTCTGGGGTTATAAGGCATGGCAGGTGGAGAAGTGGAGGAAATCCTGGATTCATAACATCCAGGTCAAAGAGCAGGATGGTGCTGCTGCTGTGAGTAGAGGGATAGATATTGACTGGGGGACAGGGACACCAAAGAGTCTGGAACACCTTATTCTTGGCCTGGCCTCGTCTAGCCCTAGGGGATAGCTACAGTCATCAGAAAGTAGTTCAGGGAAGGTGTTGATACCGGATTCTATTGCAGGAGGACACCTTGAGGAGAGAGAAGACGGAAAAAAAGATATAATTAAAGGAAATATGATCCCCCAGGATTCCAGTCCTCTCTCACCAGCTTCATAGTTACAGGGGTCTTTTTTAAACCAACCAGTTTCCCTTCTCTCTGTTCATAGCCTCAACACATAGAGTCCTGGAGAAGGTAGAGGAGAATACTGGGTAAAGCTGAGTGGGCACCACTCAGAACTTGGAGCCTGGTGGGCAAAGAAAGAGAGGTACAAAAGGAGCTAAGTCCCACAAGTACTTACTTATTCAAGCTTTCTTCAGAATGGGAGTTTTCTCTGAAGGCCATAGAAAGGGATTGTAGTTAATTTTTACTCTTATGATAGTAGAGGGAAAAGAAAGAGAAGCCATTAAATGCATGGCAGGACATTCTCCTCTTTGGAAACCTAGTTCCCCTCTGGGAAGACCAAAGACATAACCTTGGTCTTTACTCTGACCTTAATCTTTGGCTTTCTGGGTGATTTTGATTTAGCTATCTCAATTTCTTTAACTGTAAAATGGGGGAGGGAGCATATTTTAAACAGTCTAAGTTATCTTGTCTTTGTTCCTGACCACTGCCTTCCTCCATAACTTTTCTCTGACTACCTATACCAAGTATTCATAGGTTTTCATTAACTTTCAACGAGGCTGTGGACTAGGATAGGTACCAAATTCCAACTTCATTTTTACTAACATTTAACTGAAATTGAGCCTTTCCTTCAATTATGAATTTTTAAAAGTATTTTTTTCTGAACTCCATAGGTTTCATAGAACTCCATGGGTTTCAAGGACTCCATAGATTTCACCAGCCTTGCCAAGGTGTCTATGACACAAACAGGTAAGCTCAGACCATATGTTCCCTGGCCAGTGCTCTATATTTTGTCGCTTCTTCCTATTAGAATGTAAGCTTCTTGAGGGACAGAAACTACTCACTTTTTTTTTTTTTGTATTCCCAGCACCTAACACAAAAAGTGCACTTTAGAAATGATTGTTTACTGATTCCCTCTCTCCATTCTCCATTCTCCTCCCCAGCCCAATCTGGATGTTCTAATAGGATGCCTCTCACCTCAGCATTGTGCTATGCAGTCATAGCAACAAATTGTTTCTGGGAAGGTGAAGATGTGGATAAAGGAGGAGGGAGCCAATGTCTCATGTTCTCCATTTCTCACTTATTCAATGTGAAGCCTCTGCTGGTATGTGAAGAGACTGCATTGAGATCACCTGTAATGGAAGTCACAAACTATGAGATGAGATTGGCATCTCTTCTCCCTCTCACCTACCCAGCTTCTATTAGTAGTGGCTTGGAAAGTAGAGAAGGATCTAATGTCCTCTGAAATTTCCTTCCCTTAGGATCCACAGAAAAGAAGAGGATCCTTCTGTAGAACAAGAAGGGTGCTCCTCTCATTCCTGGAAGTATGAGCAATGGAAATTTCATGCTTACTTGATCACATGCTCTAAGATCTTACTGACACAAGAAAGTTTTTTAAGTCTAACTTCAATCTTTCTTCCTCTTATTTTATGCTGATGGACTTAGGAAGACTGAGGGGTGAGCACAATAGGGATCTTACCTGGGTCTCATTCTCTCATTCTTGGAAGTTTTCTTATTGTTAGTCAGCTTGAGGTTTTTATTTATTTATTTATTTATTTTAGACAATTGAGGTTAAGTGACTTGCCCAGGGTCACACAGCCAGTAAGTGTCAAGTGTCTGAAGTCAGATTTGAACTCAGGTCCTCCTGACTTCAGGGCCAGTGCTCTATCCACTGTATCACCTTAGCTTGAGGTTTTTAAATGATGTCTTGCCCCATCCAGTGGGCCCTTGTGTTGGGTGAGTCTGGGTGGATGTACAACTGGTTCCCTGTAGAAAGAGTATCTCTGTTGGGACTATATGTTCCTTAAGGAGAGAAATCTGGAGATTCCCAACACTGGAGAGGTCCACCAAACAACCTTGGGGTAGGCCTATCTCTCAGCTCCCCACACCTCTCTGCCTGGCATATTGTCCTCTCCCTTTTGATAATGAATCTATTTGCCCTTTTGATGATGTCAGTAATGTTAATCAATTGGTATTACTTTCACAAAAACACAGTAATGAGGAATGTGGTCTTTCCTGTGGATTTTGTAAGCCAGAAATGGGAATATCAAGCATTGAAAGTAGGGGGGGTAGGAGGTGGCGGGGGGTAAGAGGGCATTTTGTTCTTCAGCCCACATCCCTCTAGGCTTCCAGAGTAGTTAGAATTGGGCAGTGCTTTTCCCTAGGTATAGACTATTCAAGCCACTCTTTGAATCTCCAGCATTTAGCACAGGGGCATAGAAGAACTTAATAAATCCTTGTTAATTGGTTGATTGATCTTCTCTTGAAATGGGTGTTGATTTTCTATTTTGAAATGGGTTATGTTTCTCATCATTTGGTAAAACAATTATTAAGCATTTACTTTTTTTTTTGGCTAGGCAATGGGGTTAAGTAACTTGCCCAGAGTAACACAGCTAGTAAGTGTCAAGTGTCTGAAGTCACATTTGAACTCAGGTCCTCCTGCTTCCAGGGCCAGCGCTCTATCCACTGCTCTACCTAGCTCCCCCCAAGCATTTACCTTCTCTATTCCACTCACACACAAAGCTGAGTCAGAGATAGGACTGCCAGACTTAAACTTCACTAACTATCTTTCCCTAAGAGGTCTTATTTTCTATGGAGCCTCAGATAACACAAGGTCAGTTAGATAGCATAAGGGAGAGAGGTGGATTTGTGTAGGGTCTGTAGGAAGGGATTACTCAGGACTATAAGGCTGTATGGCTCACCCAAAGTTGGGGTGTCTGTGTGTGTGTGTGTGTGTGTGTGAGAGAGAGAGAGAGAGAGAGAGAGAGAGCTCCTCCAAACAGCAGGCGCTAAAAAGGGAAGCCAAGCCAGTACCATCCCCAGCTATTAGTAAATTTGAGCGACGCTTAGGAAGGGGAGCTTTAGTTGTAGTTGCAGAGCGCCTGGGAGATTCAGGCGTCCGGCCCCACAGCCGCTCGCTTACCGGCTCTGCTTGGTAATGGTCATTTGGTTTTGCTGCCTATAAAACTTGAGCCAGAGGGATCGGTTGCAGAGGACCACTTTCAGTTTTCTGGAGAAAGCGATCCCGGTTTTCTGGAAAAATTGGTTTGTGTCTCTGGATACTAAGGACAGATTCGCTTTGGAGCTAGGGAAGACCTGGGAGCTCCGAGGATCAATCTCATCCACTCCTTCCTCAAAGTCAGGCTGGAAGCGGCCCTGGCAGGTGGCTGACTGGACGCCCGCGGGCACCATCGGGACTCCTGGGTAGGCGACAACCCGTGCCCCGGAGTAGCTGCCTCTGCATTAGCTGTCAGCAGCTCTGGTGTCCAGCAAGGACCGAGGCTCGGGCTGGTAGAAGTAGCAGCCCTGCACGATGTTCACCCTAACTCGGGGGTTTTTGTTCTCAGGCATCCATGGGTCACTGCCAGCTTCAGAGCGGGTCTTCTGGACTCCCAAACTAGTAAGGGGTGGGCAACTGAGATAATGGGTGAATCCTGGAAGCTTCCCGCTGTCCCTCGGATATTCAGGATACTTGCCCACCAGCGGCTGTAGTCTTAAAGGACCTGTCGACAGTTGGAGTGGACCCCCACGACCTAGGGTGGTGGGGAATGAAGGGCAAGGTGGCCGACTATCTCTCTCGCTGCCCTTCCGACTGACTGAAAGTGGCAGAGTTCTTTGGGCTTAGTGGAGAAGGATGAGTCCCAAAGGACGCGCGGCTGAGACTGGGATTTTTCTATCCCGGTATGGGCAGTGGCAGGTCGTTTCCTAAACCGACTCTTTCCCTCTATAGATTGAATCGGCTTCACCTTTCCGGGCAGCGCATTGCCCAATTTTAAACTGCTTCTCTCAGCCCCGTCCCCACCCACGCAGGAAGCCCGGTCCATGCTCTTGGGACTCCTTCCAGTCCGTCCGTCCGTCCTTCCTTCCTTCCTTCCCTCCCTCCCTCCCTTGCCCCTGTAAGTTCATGTTGGAAGAACAGGGTCTACCCATCAGGCTGACCGCCTCCTCTTCCCTTTCCTATCACCTCTGACTTCCTTGCCGTTCCAAGCCAAATACTGGAGCTCCAGCGTCCATGAGTTGTAAGGGGTCCTGTGTAACAGAGGTAGGCGTGTTCTCCACTGGCTGTTTGCCAAATGGAAGGAGGGATTGTACCAGGACCCCACCTTGCAGCCAGTGCGTCTAGAAACTAAGTGAGGCAAAGAGTGGAGGCAGGGGAAGGGTCCCCTCCACCCCACTTCTTTCACTCCACTGAGTCAGGACCACGTCGGTACTGGTATGTGTTAGGGCATATGACTGGGGGAAGGAAGTGAAGGAAGCTGTTTGCAGGTAGGCAAGCCAACTCATGGTCACCCCTGTGTTCCCAGGTCCTTTCTACATTTCACATCTTCTCTGTTTGAGAATCTCTATGACTTTCTAAGCTCCAACAAAGTTGGCCCCAGGCTTCTGCTGTCTTCTACCTCCTTTGCAGTTCTATATTTAAGGTCTATGGCCTTTGGAGTTGCCAGTCTCATCCATTCTTGGTTGCTGGACACCTAGGAACCCTCAATAGGTGAGGAGTCATCTCTACCTGAGACTGAGTGGGACACAGAGAACCTTAGCTCATAGTTAACCTCCGTCACTAGCTGGTTATGTCAACTTGGGGTGTCACTTTTTTTGAGCCTGACTTTCACCATTAGAAGCAGTGTAGCAAAGAGAAAATGAGGCAGCTAGGTTAGTTGATAGAGCACTGGGTTTGGAATCATCTTCACGAGTTCAAATCCAACCTTGGACATTTATTGATCCTAGGTGAGTTACTTAACTGTTTGCCTCAGTTTCCTGTAAAATGAGCTGGAGAAGGACATGGCAAACCACTCCAGTATCTTTGCCAAGAAAACCCCAAATGCGGTTACAAAGTGTTGGACATGATTAAACAACAACAAAAGCAAAGGTAAAAGAGCAGGGATTTTGAATCTACCTTCTTACCTTCCAAGTCTGCTGCCTACCACCAGTGTGACTTTGGGCAAATCATTTCACTCTCTAGGGTTATTTACTTATGGTCTCTAGTATCTTCCAGCTCTGTTGGGTTTGAATGTCTTGCCTCAGACACTGACTGTATGACCCTAGGAAAATTATTTAACTAATCCAAACCTTATTTTCTTGATCTGTAAAATGGGGATAACACTTGTTTCAGGACCTGTCTACAAAGGATTGTAAAAAGCTTTGCCCACTTCAGAGCTCTATATTACTATTATGAGCCTATGACTACAGGATCTCTTAATATCCCCTCCAGCTTTAGAACCAATGTGCCCAACAGGTTTATACCATGGCCCTACTTCCTTCTGCACCCAGACAGAAATAATGGCTCTGCTTTATGTCAGAGCTGGCTCCCACTTATCTAAGCACCAGGAAGAGACCATGTGGTCTATACCCAGGTCTTTCTGCCCTTTCAGAGGTGAGGAAGCTTAGAAGGAGAGTTGAGAGGGCTTGGGAAGTCAAAGATGATCTCTGCTCTCACATATTACACATCCCAAGCAGAGTCACATCCCCATGGCTTTCTCCATGGGATCCTAGGAGGGACCAAGTTGTATTTAGTCCCTGTGTACACCTCACCCTTAGTCCCCTTCACACTAAGACTGGCAGACTTTTCCAAGTTTATTTTTAAAAAGTGAATAAACCAAAGATATTGGCAACTTATATCATGGACAATAAATAGCTTCTTTAAAAAAAGATTCCCTTTCCCTCCAATTAAAATCTAGTCATAAAATAGCATTCCCCTCCACCATCCCCTCCAATTCTAACTATTCTAGGATGCCCATCCCCCTATGAAGAGAGACAAGCAGATTCACTTTAAGGGTACCTGAGATCTCAACTGGCCGGTTGCCCCCCCCCCCTTTTTTTTTTTTAAGAAAAGAGGCTTTTGTTTTTGTTTGGTTGTTTGGTTGTTTGTTTTTTTAAAATTGAGTAAAAAATGAGCTAAGTGTCCTAAGGAATAGAAGAGAATCTACTTTCTCCAGCTGTCCTCAAAACCTGCATACAAAGGCACAGATTAAAAAAGAAAACTGAGCAAAGTTCATCCACAGAGGTGCTGGGGGCAGGAGTTATCCCTACTTGACTCATTGGGAGTCCTCTCAGAACTTCCTTCATTCATTCCTTAGAGAGAGAGATCCAGAGTTTCTCTTTAGACCTCTTCTCTTCTAGGCCCCCGTGATAGGTCTGAGGACATCAGTGGTACAGTTGGCATCAACCTTCACTGTCTGCCTTAAGTTACACAAAAAGGGAGGTAAGCCAGTTCATTGGAGGAACCACGGCATCCTGTCTGGGGCGGTTAAGCATTTCAGGTAGAGAATAGTAGTTCTAGCTTCATGTTATTCATGCCTAAGGGAAGCATACTGCTGCTGCTTTGAGTGGGCATCACAGACATAGTCCAAGGGAACTGGAGGGTCCTGGGTCAAGAGGCAAGGAGTCAGAAGTATTTCATTCTTGGCTTGGCAAGCATCTGATCCTAGCCCAGTAGAAGGGAAAGGGGAGATGTTGGTGGCACTGGATTCTATAGCTGGAAGTCACTTTGAAAAAAAGAATGTAACTAAAGGTTAGATAATCTTGCTTCTTTTCTAACCAGTTCACTCCCTCTCTACCCTCAGCCTCAGCACACAGAGTCTTGGAAGAAGGTGGAAGAGGGAACTCAGTAGGGTTCAGTAGGAACCACTCAGAGCACTTGGAGCCTAATGGACAAAGGGGAGAAACAAAAAAAATGAGATGAGTCCCACAAGTCTAAGGGTGGTCCAGAGTGTCTGAACAACGATCTAGGGAGTCAGAGCTACATGGTCTCTGCCTTGGTAAGCCCCAATTCCTAGTTTGAATAGGTAGCCACAAAAATCACTTTCAGGGAGATCTTAGTGGTGGCACTGGATTCTACAAGATGGAAGGCACCTTGAAGGGAAAGGAGGAAGAAAAAAAGGATGTAATTAAGGCAATACAATCTTCCAGAATTCCATCCCCAGTATCAAAGTCCTGACCTGCTTCTTATTTGACCACTCTCCACCCCTACTCCAATCCTGCTCTCTACCCATAGTCTCAATACAGAATACTGGGAGGAGGTAGAGGAAAGGACCGAGTCAGGTCGAATGGACATCACCTAGAACATTGAGAGTGGCAGACAAAGAAGGGGAGACCAAAAAAGAGGCTTAGCCCCACAAGTACTTACTTATTTTGGTTTTCCTCTAAAAGCAGTCTTTTCTAAAACTGCTGGAAAATTGATTGTGGTCAATTTTTAATTTTATGATCTAGAGAGAAAGGAAATAGAAGCCAGTGAGTGCCGGGCTTCTCTCTTTGGAAACCTCTGAGACGGCCAAAGACCTGACTTCAGTCTTTGCCCTGATGCGCTGAGTGACCTTGGAGAAGTCACCTCATGTTATTTATCTGTAAAATAAGGAAGGAAAATACTTTAACAATTCCAAGTCATCTCTCAGGGCCTACCAAGCTGGGGCATCTTACTTTTGGTCACCGTATAACCCTCTACCTCCTTCTTCCCCATCCCTTTTCCATGCTATGGCTGCCTAGACCAGGGGTTCTTAACCTGGATTTGAGACAATCTGCAGACTTGGATGGGAACAAAATTTCAACTTTATTTTCACTAATCTCTAACAGAAATTGAGCCTTTCCTTCAATTATTGATTAAAAAAAAACATTATTCCGTAAGGGGTCCATAACCTTCACTAGCCTTTCTAAAATGTTCATAACACAAAATAGGCAAGAATCCCTTTCATTAGAACAAAACATTTTCTGGACAACACCTTTCTCCTCGTATTTGTTGCTTCCCCTATTAGAATGTAAACTTCTTCAGGGGCAGAAGCAGTTTCACTTTTGTTTGCGTACCCCCTAGCACACAGTGTGTACTTTAAAAAAGATTTCTGATGATTTTCTCCCTCTATCTGCCCCCCACCCCAAGCCTGAGTCTGATGTTCCAATAGTTTGCCCCTCACCTCCTGATTCTGATATGTAGTCACAGCGATGAAAAAGTGAAGATATGGGAGGGGTGCGGACCCAGGGTCTCATGCTGTCCATCTCTCACCTCTTCAATGTGAAGCTTTGGCTGGTATTTGTGGCAGGACTTCAAATGGATTATCTATAATGGAAGTCACAAGGAGAGAGGTGACATAGGCAGCCCTTCTTTCCCCACCTATCTGGTCTTTACCAGTGGTAAGTGGGAAGGTAGAGTCAGAGTCAGACATTTATTAAGTACCTACTATGTGCCTGGCACTGTGCAAAAGTAATGGGGAAAACAAAGAAAAGCATAATAAAGTCCCTCAAGGAGCTCACATGGGGGAAGGGGAAGAAACACATAAAAAGAAGCTGAAAAGTGTTAAGGGAGGGAGGGGACCTCAGAGACAGGTCCATAAGCATTGGGGTTACAGATTGGAGACCAATGCAGGGGCATTATGAAATCATGTAGCCAGTGTGAGAAATGGTCTGAATTTGTGAGTTGATTTCATCTTGCAGACTGATGAGTTTCTGAAGATGTTGAAGTCTTGGAAACTAACTAGGTGGGCAATGGTAAGAAGAATGCCATTGGTGCCTTTGTTAAATGGTGGAGTATCAGAGAGGAGTTCCTACATGTTCTCCCTCTAATGCCTCTGATCAGAGGGAGACATGAAAAATAATAACTAGCATTTATATCATATTATATTTATATTATACCTATTAAGTGCCAGGCTGTGCACTAAGCACTTTACATAGAATATAGCCTAGCACATAGTAAGTGCTAAGTCCCTTACAAATATTATCTCACTTTATCCTTACAATAACCCTGGGTAGTAGGTTCTATTTTTATCCCTACTTTACAGTTGAGGAAACTGAGGCAAAGAGGTTAAGTGACTTGCCTAAGGTTAAACAGCTAATAAGTATCTGGCAAGATTTGAATTCAGATCTTTCTGACTCCAGATCCAGTGCTCTCTCCCTTGTGCCACCTAACTGACCTTGTGTTATCTGAGGCTCCATAGAAAATAAGAAGACCTCTTTTTTAGAATAGGTTCTATCAACTCCTTCTACAACTTCTTTTATCACTCCTGGAAGTATAAGCAGTGGAAACTCCGTGCTTACTTGGTCATATGCTCTAAAATCTCACTCTCTGACCTACTGCCACAGGAAAGTTCTTTAACTCTAGCTTCAATCTTCTTTCCTCTTATTTTGTGCTGATGGACTTGGGAACGCTTGAGGGGTGGGCACAATGGGGATCTTACCTGGTTCTCATTATTGGAAGTTTCCTTTTTGTTAGTCAGATTGAGTTTTCTAAATGATATCTCTTGCCCCATCCAGTGGGACCCTATGTTGGGTGAATCTGGGTGGATATATAGCTGGTTCCCTGTAGAAAGAGTATCTCTGTTGGGACTTTCTGTCCCTTAGGGAGAGAACCTTGGGGATTCCTGACATTGGAGAGGTCCACCAAAGAACCTGGGGGTAGGAGGAGGTATATGTGGTTTCTATGGGACTTGGCTACAGGATCGTTTGGTGTTGGGAAAAGAGAAAAATCTGGACAAGCCCAGGAAGAGAAAAGCCTGAGATTTGGAGAAAGGGAAAAAAAAACACTGGATGAGGGCAGTGGGCTGGGAAAGATGGGGAGTGGAGAGGAGAAATAGAGAAAAGGGACAAATATGGAGGAGTGATGAAGGACTGGATAGGTGAGGGAAAGGGGTTGATTGGATTTACTGGGGGCCCCACCAGAGGGCACCATAACACCAGAGACAAATGAGACAATATCCCATTAGTTCCCAGGTACTATCCCAGTCTCTACCCCTTCCCCTACTCCCCCCCATCCCCCTCAGCTTTCCCCACTTTCCCACCTGGAACAATGTTCTTTTCCATTTTATGTTGAATCCATTTGCCCTTCTGATAAGGCCAGAGATGCTGATCAATTAGAACCATTTCTACAAACACACGATAATGAGCAATAGGGTTCATCCCCTGGATTTGGTAAGCCAGAAATGGGAACATCAAACTGTAAAGAAAGGGGAATAGAAGGGAAAGGGAGAGAGGTGAAATAGGGAAGAGAGAATTTTGTTGTTTAGTCCACATCCTTTCAGGTTTCCCTAGTAGTTAGGACTGGGTAGGGTTCTGCCCTATGTATAGACTATTTTTAATTGTTTTTTTGTATGTCCATCATTTAGTAGAGTAGCATATAGAATATACGCAATGTGTTAACTGATTAATCTTTCTTAGAAATGAGTATTGATTTCCCATCAATCAATAAGCAATTATTAAGCATTTACTTTCTCCACTCCACTCACACACAGGCTGAGCCAGAGATACTACTGCCAGACTTAACATGCCTTTCACCAAACATCTTTCCCCAAGTAACATGACCTTAGCTTAAGAATCTCATTGTCTTGGTGAAACAGATCTGGAGTCCTAGGTCAGAGAATCTGGGCTCTGGTCTATGAAGTCTGTCTCTCCTAGGAGACACAGAAGCCAAGGTAAGCTAGAGAAGGGATGACTGGGAATCCAAAATGGAGATGGAAAAGGGACAAATGTCCAAAGAAGTTTAGTGGAGCTGAAACATTAAAGTCACAGAAAATTCATCTGTTCAGGGATTGTACCTGGGAGGATCAATGGGAGGGTGTGTGTGTGGGGGGGGGGGGGTAGCAAGGACAGGGATCTTTCAGCTTTGTCAAAAATTCCAACTTCATCATGAACTTCCTGTTGAGAGTTGAACCATTTTTCAGCCTTTCAGGCTTTAGTTAACAGGTTCCCAAATGAACCTCCCTTCCAAAAAGGAAAAGCCAGTCAGTATTTCTCCATCTCCAAGAGAAACCTTAACAAAAAATGACCTGGGTCAGGGGGTAGAATTTAAGGGTAGGATGGGCAGTAAGAGAGGTCTGTTTTCTTCTGAGCCACCACCAGTTGGGACCCACAAAGAGTTCCTATTTGCTGCTTTGACTGTTACTGAACACTTGCTGGTCAAGGAGCAGACAGTAGGATTGGGAAATGGGAATTTCAGGCCCTACTCCTCCCTACAAGTAAGCATGAAAGTCCACTACACAACTTCCACCTCCTTCTACTTGCTCTTGAGACCATCATCATGTTTTGAGGATGGGGTAAAGACAGTGTGGAACCCTGTTTTGTCCATTTTCTTGGATCTGTGCTATTCTTTTTGACTGCCACCAACTACCTGCCTGTGTGACACTGAGCAAATCATTTAACTTTTCTGGGCCACAATTTCCTTATGTTTCAGATGAGGGGGTTGCTAGTTGGTTTTGGGTCTCTAATTCAATGATCCCCATGAAGATTCAGGAGCTTTGGACGTGGAAACTTTCCTCCTACTCTCCTCTTCCTCTACCATACTTGGAGAAACTTAATAGTAAATGAACAGTGGTAGATCTTCTGTTACTGGTCAATGCCAGTTTTACTTCAAGGTACTGAGAAGTAGACACAAATGAGTCCCAGGAGTGAGGGGGATGGTAGGGGTTGATGGGGATATGGAGTGTACTTCTTTGTGTGTTGGAAGGAGGCTATCAGAGGGAAATTACCTATGACTACAGGGTTTTGTGGCTCATCCAAAGTTGATCTCGCTCTCTCTCTGTTCCTTCACTTCTTGGTGCCCAATCTCTCTCCCCTTCTTGCTATCCCTAGCTGCCGTCTCCCTCTGTCTCATTACCTCTGTCTCTGTTTGTCTATCTCTCTCACACACTCACACCACTTGTAGTCACTATTATCACTGCAGATTGGATCTACCAGCACTATGACAACTTTCTCCATTGCACATACAGTTTTTCTTATGGAAACAGAGGTTATGAAGCCTGTCTGGTGACTTTCTGCCTCCCTCAGCAGCACATTCACCATAATTCCCTTTCATCTACTCTCCCTGTCAACTCCTTAGAGGATCAGGACATTTGGATTTTAGAGCTAAAAAGCACCTTAGAAATCATTTTATCCTATCCCCTTTGTTTTGTAGATGAGGAGCAGAAGACCCATGGAGGAAAAGTAATTTGCTCAATGTCATAACTACTTAGTGTCTCAGTTGTGGTTTCCCACATCTTCTATCCTGGGTAACAGGAAGGTTAGATAGGTCAACTCCATTCTCCACCTTTGATAAGACTGATTAAAGCTTAAAGATTATACAAAGGTGCAGAATCTTCAGGAAACAATTGAGTCTACCTAATTACATCTAATACCTACCAGCTGCTGGCACAGTGGATAGATTACTTGACCTGGAGTAAGGAAGACCTGAATTCAAATCCAGCCTCAGACACTTACCAGCTGTGTGACCTTGGGCAAGTTACTTAACCTCAGTTTCCTCAACTGTAAAATAGGGATAATAATGACATCTAGATTTCATGGAGTTGTTGTGAGGATTAAATGAGATATTTATTTAAAATAAAAGCAAATAATACAGTGCTTGGCACATAGTAGGAACTATATAAATGCTTATTCCCTTCCCCATTCCTGAATTTTAGTTTCCCAAAGCAAATAGCCCAATAGCACAATGGGTCAATAACAGTGGCAAAAATTTGTGCTAAAGTTTTTTACTAAACAATCACCAGTGGGTTGCAACTGACTTTTGGTGACCCCATTTGGGTTTTTTTAATGTTTTAATTTATTTTTAGTTTTCAACATTCACTTCCTCAAGATTTTGAGTTCCAAATTTTCTCCCCATCTCATCCTTCCCCCCACCCCGATGATATACATACCCCTTCCCCTAATTTGCCCTCCCTTCTATCTTTCCCTCCCCCTTCTTTTATCCCCTACCCCTTCTATTTTCCTGTAGGGCAGGATATGTGTCAATACCATTTGGGATTTTCCTGGCAAAGATACTGGGGTGGCTTGCCATTCTTTCTCCAGGTCATTTTACAGATGAGGAAACTGAGGCAAAGCAGGTTAAGTGACATGCCCAGGATCATACAGGTAGTGTTTAAGAGATTGAATTTGAACTCACATCTTCGTGACTCCAGCCCTAGAGCTCTACCTAGTGGGCCACTTACCTGCCCTAAGTCTGCATAGCATAGCCTGCCCCAAAGGCTACTCCCCCAGCCAGCGGTTGGTAGTTAGCATCCACCCACTTCCAATTTCTCTCCAGGAGAAAGAGTGAGGAGAGAAAGAGGGAGCTGCCCTTTCAGCGTAACTGATACCAGCTGTCCCCGGGGATAAATGAAATGGGTTTTGTGGGTTCCTGGATCTTTGGGTTTATTTCATCTATCTGCCCTTGCCTGTATGGCTGAAGGCCATCCATTAGCCATTATCTCCTTTTCAACACACACACACACACACACACACACACACACACACACACACACGCGCGCGCGCACACACACACAGACGGTACCCAACAAGCCTTTTCCCTCCAGGGGGCCGAGACACTTCCCACTAAAAGGAGATGCCAAGGGCTTCATACTAAACTCAGTTTCGAGTAAACCTAAATGATGCTTAAAAAGACAGACACGATTATGGTTTCCGTGCTCCTGGAGGATTCAGACGTTCGACCCTACAGTCGTCCACTTACCGGCCTTGCTTGGTAAGGATCATTTCATTCTGGTGCCTGTGAAACGTGAACCACAGGGCATGATTGCAGAGGACTACTTTGAGTTTGGCAGAGAAAGCAGTCTCGCTGCACGGGTCACTGGCCGGGATGGCCTCATTGACCTGGGCTCTGAGGAAGAGCTGGGAGCTCTGGGGATCGACCCGGCTCACCGCGTCTGCCCTGACTGGGTAGCCAAAGGCTGGCTGGAAGCCCTCGCCCCGGGAGGTGAGCGAATAGGGTTCCGGATTTCTGGAGTAGTCCCCGGAGTGGATCTGGGGCAAGGAAGGGGAGTGGTAAAGGAAGAGGAAGAGGCGCGGAATGGCCGGTGGCTGGATGCCCATGGGCACCGTCGTGACTTCAGAGGAGCAGTCCTGCACATCTCTCACCCCAGCTCGATCGTCCCCATTCCCAGGCACGTGAGGGTCGGTACCCATCAGCACGGCTTCAGAGATGTTCTTCTGGACGCCCGTGGGTGTTGAGAGTGGGCAGTGAGAGGAACGAGAGAGTGTTGGCAGCTCCCTGCCGCCTCTCCGGCTGGCAGGACGCCTGCGTCCCAATGGCTGTGGCCTTAGATGATGGATCGACGGTTGCAGCGGACCCCCTGCCTTATGTCGGTGGGTTATGAAGTGCAATGTGGACGGCTGTCTCTCTCGCTGCTCCTCCGATAGGGTGAGAGTGGAGGACTCCTCGAAGTTGCATGAAGAAGACTGACGAAACTCAAACGAGGAACGGCTGGGATTTCTGGAGTCCTCCTCCTCCATATTGACAGTGGCAAGTGTTTTTCCGAAGCGATTTCTTAGTTCTCCAGACTAAATTGACTTCACTGATCCGGGCGGCTACATCTCCCAGTTTTAACCTGCCCCTCTCCACCCCGTTCCCACCCACGCGGGAGGCCCCGCCCCTCCCCGCCCCGCCCCAGACCACTCCAAGGAGCAGGTTCTTTGTCTCTCTGTCTCCCTCCACTCTGTTCTGTAGTTCTTTGTCTCGTAGTTTCCCTGTTTCTGTCTGTAGGTCTGTCTCTGTCTGTCTCTGTCTGTCTCTGTCTGTCTCTCTCTTATACACACACACACACACACACACACACACACACACATACGCACACGGAACCTGGGGAACTGGACTGGATACAGCAGGAAACAATAGAAGGAAACTCATCTACATTTTGCTCTAAAGACCTAGCATGCAACAGAGACTGCAGTGCAGGGGCAAGAATGTTGGTTGGCAGAAGACTGTTTTCAAGTACTAGCTACCCAGTTAACTAGGTCTTTCCCCTTGGACAATTTTCTTAACTTTTCTGTGCTCCCGGGTTGAAAATCTATTTTTTTTATTAATTTATTTTGATTTATCAACAATCACTTCCATAAGCTTTTGAGTTTTAAACTTTTCTCCCCCTCCCTTCCTACCTCCCTCCCCAAGACTGCGGGCAATCTAACATAGGCTATACATATACATTCCTATTAAACATATTTTCACATTAGTGATGTTGTAAGTAAAAATTAGAATTCATAGGAGGAAGCGCCAGAAAGAGGAAACAAAACACAATAGAGAAAAAAATAGCAAATAGTATGCTTTGATTGGCATTCAAACTCCATAGTTCTTTCTTTGGACGTGGAAAGCATTTTCCATCATGAGGCTTTTGGAGATGTCTTGTATTGCTCAGTCATCACTTAATGTGGCTGTTACTGTGTACAACATTCTCCTGGTTCTGCTCACTTCACTCAGCATCAAACCATACAAGTCTTTCCAGGTTTATCTGAAGTCTGCCCGTTCATCATTTCTTATAGCATTCCATTACATTCATATATCACATTCATAATTATAACTATCTGTGTCTTTCTCTCCATCCTTCCCCCCTCCCATTTATGCTTTTCTTTCTCCTTTTCCCTTCTCACTAATGTTTTGCTTTTGACCACCGCCTCCCTCAGTCCCACCTCCCTTCTATTAGCCCCCTCCCTTTTCTTTCCCCTTTTCCCTCCTACTGCCTATAGGGATGTTAGATTTCTATACCTAACTGATTATGTTATTCCTTTCTTAAACCAAATCTGATGAGAGCAAGGTTCAAACAATGCTCATCTCCCTCCCTTCTTTCCCTCTGCTGTAATAGGTTTTTGTGCCTTTTCCTGTGATGTAATTTACCCTTGTCTGACTCCTCCTTTCCTTTTCTCTCAGTACATTTTCTTAGATCAGATTAATTCACTTACTTGGATCCATTTAACCTATTTGATTAGTTTTTTTTCATCATTACATCAAAGTCAATTTATACCCACCCCCTTTATGTATACATGTAATAACAATACAGTTCTCAAGAGTTACAAGTGTCATCTTCCCTTGTAGGGATGTAAAGAGTTTGTCCTTATTAATAACATGTTACTTTCTGTCCCGTTTACCTTTTCATGTCTCTCTTGAGTCTTGTATTTGAAGATCAAATTTTCTGTTGAGCTCTGGTCTTTTTATCAGGAAGGTATGGAAGTCCTCTATTTCGTTGAATATCCATCTCCTCCCCTGAAAGATCATGCTCATTTTTGCTGCATAGTTGATCCTTGGTTGTAATCCAAGCTCCTTTGCCTTACGGAATATCAGATTTCATGCCCTATGGTCTTTTAATGTAGAAGCTGCAAGGTCCTATGTAATCCTGACTGTGGTTCCATGATACTTAAATTGTTTCTTTCTGGCTGCTTTCAGTATTTTCTCTTTTACCTGGTAATTTTGGAATATCGCTACTATATTCCTTGGCGTTTTCAATTTGGGATCTCTTTCAGGAGGTGATCAGTGGATTCTTTCTATGGCTATTTTACCCTCTGGTTCTAGGACCTTGGGGCAGTTTTCCTTTATGATTTCCTGAAAGATACTGTCCAGGTTCTTTATTTTACATTTTCCAATATTTTTTCATTCTTTTGTTTTTGTTTGATTGATTCTTGCTCTTTCATAGAGTCATTAGCTTCCATTTGCTCAATTCTAATTTTTAACAAATTATTTTCTTCTATTAGATTTTGTACCTCCTTCCCCATTTGGCCAATTGTATTTTTTAGGGACTTGTTTTCTTCAGTGTACTTTTTTTTCCAGTTGGCCAATTGTACTTTTTAGGGACTTGTTTTCTACAGTTAATTTTTGTCCTTCCTTTTCCAAGCTATTGACTCTCTCTTTCATACCTCTCATTTCTTTTCCCATTTTTTCTTCTACCTCTCTCATTTGACTTTTAAAATCCTTCTTGAGCTCTTCTAAGAAGACTTTTTTGGCTTCAGACCAGTTCATATTCCCTTCTGAGGTTCCAGATGTGGGTTTGTTGACAATGTTGTTCTCTTCAGAATTTCTGCCTTGATCTTCACTCTTCCCATAATAAGAATCTATCGTACGTTTCTTTTTGCTCATGGTGTTTGCTTATTTCCTGGCCTTTAAAGAGATTGGGCTCTCCTGCTGGTGAGCAGAGGGCACTGACCCAAGCTTCTTGTGTTGGGAGCCTAGGGCCTGGTCAATGGCTTTGTGTGCTGGGGCCTCCAATGTTTGCAGTTGGAGGCTGTAGGATTCTGGCAGCTTACCTGGTGTTGGGCTGGAAACAATATTGGAATTCTAGGAGTAGGATTGAGTAGTGTGGCTCCTGGAGATTTCCTGCTCACCCAGGCCTTTTCTTCCTTTTGCTTTCTTCAGCTCTTTTCAGATGGATGTTGTAGGGTGTTTATCCACCTGGGGCCCCTTGGAGTGCTGCTTCCCTTAGTTTTGCTGAGGCACTGGGAGAGCCGGTTGCTGTAGAATGCCGAGGCACCTGGTGGTTTTCTGAACTGGCTTCTACCAGTTCTCCCATCATCAATGAGGCACTTGGAGTCCAGGTGTTGGTGTTTGCCTGCTCTACCACCCAGGCTTCAGGATCTCTTCCCGGTAAGCTGAGGTGGGGCTTTCCACTAGCTTGCTGGGATGCCTCCTGTTCTGTACTGCTCCCCTTCCCAGTAAGAGGGGCCTTTCCAGTTAATCCCTCAAGCTACCTGGGTTACTGGACTGCTGCACCCCATCTTTCTTCTGGTTCAACTGTTCCAGGGTTTTTCCTGGGGTGATATTTTCTGGGCTTTCAGGGGTTAATAAGGGAAAGTAAGAGAGACTCACCTCTTACTCCGCCATCTTGGTTCCCAGAAATGGAAGTCTGAAAATCTATTTTTGAGCCAGTAGATTTGGTCTTGCCTGATGCTGAGATGGGAGGCTAGCTGTTGACTGGGACCTATACCCATCCATCTGTTCATCCATCCATGGCTCCACTCCTCTCTCCCAGCTATCTACATGTTCTTCTCTCCCCTGTCCCCAGGTTTGGGGACCACTTTGAGTAGAACAAGATAATGTCCTGTGTCCACAGCACCCTAACCAATAATCAGCACTGGACTGAGGACTATGGGGAGATGTTTATCTAAAACACTCAGAATAGCTTCTGCTATTGAAAGATTACCTTCTGTATGGAAGAAGTCAGGCCTCTGTAAGGTCATATTGGAAGAATGGGGTCTACTTACTGGGCTGCCTACCTCCTGTTCCCCTCCTAACATTTCTACTCCCATTGCATTCCAGGTCTTACATTCCAGGTCAAATACTGAAGCTCAATTATCCATGAGGTGCAAGGGACTGTTTATACCAAGAGTCCCCACCTAGTGGCAATTACATTTGGAAACTGAGTAAGAGAAGTGGCCATGGGGAGTGGGGCAGTGTGGGGAGGTAGAAGGTAGGGCCCTCTCCATCCCACTTCTTTATCCGTGCTGGGTCAGGGTCATCTGGTTCAGGATTAGGAAGAATTGGATGGATCCTTGCTCCATCACTTCTCCAGTTTTTATCTACTTTCCCCTCCCTTCACCCCTCATTCACCCCCAGACCTGGTCCCTTAAGACCACAAGTCAGGCCAGACTTTGGCTTTAAATAGTTTGCTATGGATTTGAATCAGTTAGCTGAAGCTGTCTCTCTACCCCACATTGACTCAGAGCTTTGGCCAGACCAGAGATCAGGGCGTCCCTGGACTGCCTGCTTTCCCTGCCACAGGACATCTTGTTCCATCTGAGATAAGCAAGCATTGCATGGCTAATGTTCCTGTCCCAGTGTTCAGGGTCTCTGGTCCATGATACTCCTTTCTCTGATGTAGAAGGCAAACAGGGTAAATTCCCTTCATAGAATTCATCCTCTATTTCCCAACCCCCCTCCTCCAAACCTCTTCCTCTATGCTGAGTCAAGGAAGTGCTTCCCTGGGGGGTAGTGAATCTGTGTGGATCTTTCTATAGGGGGTACTCTGGTACTTTCTATAGGCTGTGGAACTGAGTAGGTGGGAGGGTGGGTAACTCAGCCTTGGGGAAGTGTTACTGACTGAGACTTGTCCTCTCCCAAGTACATGGAGGGGAAAATTCAGGTTACTAAATTCCAGAAGGGAAGATTGAGCAGTTTCAAAGAAAAGACTGGGAAGTGATAGAGAACAAAATCACCCACCGGTCTCTGTCTCCATCTCTTTGCTCCTGATATCTTGTTGCCATTCACCTTCTCCATTTCCATTTCTGATCCTTTGGCCCATTCAGAGAATGGGCAACAGCATTTACATCTGGGCCCAGAGAGAGATGGCCAACACATCAGAGTGGGAAGGGAAGATATGGGAAGCAGGATCTCGTACCTTCATTGATTGACCCCCATATTCCTTCACTTCACTGCAGGAGACAGAAGGAAGGCAATGGTCAGGAGTGTTGGATCTTATACAACTCTCTCTCTCTCTCTCTCTCTCTCCCTCCCCCTATGACTGGGGGCTGGGATAGAGAAGCTGCTTGCAGACAGGCAAACAAAGTGCCTTCTGGCTGCTCCCTGGGC